AAACTTTATTCCAGCTTCACGTCATCCATTTTTTACTACTTTTTCGCTGTCTCTACACCAACCCTTACTTCTGTACGGCTTCGTGCTACTGCTTTTTCTTCCGCTCTTATTTTAGTCTTGGCGGCTAGGTAGGTCGGTAGGCAGGTTTCCACGGTCGTCGTCATTACATCATCCCGAGGTCGGCTCCTTCAAAACCGCCTACTGGTCACTTCTGCTTCTTGTACACTCTTTCTTTCCTTGGCGGCAGCTTCACTCGTCGTTCGTGGTTCGTGTTTCCCCCTTCACGTCCCCTCCTCACCAATGAAATCCACACTCGGCCCCAGCCCCCTCCTCCCGCTCCACATCGTCACCGACTTGATGGGCTCCAAGCCGGGGGTCAGGGCGAAGGCGACCGCCTTGGCGGCGGTGACCAGGGCGAGTCTGTCTCGAGCGGGGGGAGAGAGGGAGGGAGGGAGAGAGGGAGGGAAGGAGGGGGGGAGAGAGGGAGGGAGGATGGGGCCGGAAGCACACTTTCGAGACATCACGGAGCGCAGCCGCCGACGTCGCAAAGGGGGAGCAGGTAAACGAAACATGAGGAAACGGGGGGTTCGACTGCATTAGTAGGGCGGGGGGAAAGGGGTTCCTCCCAAACATGCAAAACACCGCCACCAGCACCACACCAGGGGGAAACGGGCGGGAAAAAGGCGATGTAAAACGTTGCGGGCGGAAGGTACTTGCGTATGTATGTACGCAAGGTGGGGGGAAGGAAGAGCTGTTCAGATGCACGGCAGTCATGCATATACACAATACCAGACGCACACTCTTACACACACACAACCCTACAGACAAACATACACTCCGTCGTACACCCACCTGTCCTTGGCCGCCGTGTCGGGTATCCTCGGCGCCTTCTCCCCCCAGTTCAGCCCCTCCACCAGCTCCAGAACCATGGGCAGGCTGATGGTGGGCACGTTGCGGCGCACTGTGAGGATGGCGGCCTCGTTCATCAGATTGGCGAGAGCGGCGGCGGACCAGCCCTGCAGGTGTGTGTGTATGTGTGTGTATGTGTGTATGTGTGTGTATGTGTGTATGTGT